TTACCATGGAGGAGTATGCCTTGGCTGGCTTTCAGGACCCAGGACAGTGAGAGATGTGGATCTGAGCCACCTCACCTGTCTGGCCCATCTGTGGTGGGAAGCAAAGCCAAATAGCAAGTTGAAGCACATCTACCCCACTGATCCAGCCTCACTCCCAGCTCAGCCAACTTATAGACCTGTGAAAATAAATGATTGTTCTTTTAAGCTGCTGAGTTTTGGGTGATTTGTTACTCAGGTAACTGTAGAAAAAGTTAATTAATAATTGTTTGGGAAAGAAATGGTGGTATATAGAAGTAAGAAAGAGACAGAGCTAGAAACAGGCTTCTTACTGGCTGCCTTTCCTTGGTTCTCCACAATCTATGAGCAGAGAAAGCCATTGTGTAAATAGCTGGCCTATCCAGTGGGTGGCTGCCTTCCTTGGCTTGGCAGAATTCAATTTTCCCTTGCTTGACCAGAAAATGGACTTTTAAAGATTCAGTTTGGGGATGGGAAGGTTATTATTTCTAGTTCACAAATATTCTAATTAAATTGAAAATGGTCTAGGATAAGTAGATTAATTTAGGAACATCTATGCTTCTTATATTCTAAAATATCAGGTACACTTCTTGATTATAAAGCATACTTCCAGTCATCCCTTTGCCTAGTTCAGTGTTTGGTAACCAGAAATTTAATAAATTGTACTAAAGGGCTAAATGTAAAAGGTTCCTGGGTTTCAGGGCCATGTTTCAGAATCTGGATGACCAGTGAAATATTCCATGTGTAGCTCTCAAATCACCCATGCCAACTCGTGACTCTAATTTCATCATGCCAAGCTTACTTCCCCTCAAAATTTTGGATTTATGGTGTAATTCCTAAAGATAGATGAGGAGAGTTTGAGTGATATATCTCCTCTGCATCAATAGTTCAGTTAAGGAATCTAGCCACTTATAAGGAATGAAGGTTGATTAGCTCAACCAGCATGTATTGAGGACACATGATTAATGATCAAACTGTAGTTTTTAACCTTTTCCAAAATCAATGGTATTTATCTTATCTGTCCTCTAACCTTGATCTTAGAAAAATCCGCTTATTCTATATGGGATTATAAACTTGGGGTACTGGTTAGAAAACCAAAAGTGAAAATTTCCTATTACACAACTTGGGTTGATTTAAAGACTTACATGTAGGAAAAAATAAAAACAGTAAGAATAATAGGAGTAATAATAATAAATAGAATGTTTACTGAACATTTACAATCAATAGGCACTCTGCAAAGTACTTTACTTGCATTTTTTTCATTTAAACCTCACACAATCCTATGAGGTAGTAACTATTATTAACCCAAAGCGCTTAAGGCACTTGTAATTATGAAGTAGGTAAGATGGGAAGTGTACAGTGTACATTAGAGTCCTTGGCCATTGTTTGCACTACTTTGCCAAGAGGTGTTAATGGAAAGCATGATTTTAGATATTTTATTTAAAGATAGGAATCTGCTCTCTATATACTCGTTTTTTCACAGTTACACAGTAGTTTTGCTCTATCCCTTGTTTCTCTTGATAGAACTCTAAAAACACAATTTCCAACTGTAGCAAAGGGTGACCCTGCCCTCTTCTCATTTACCCTGTCTCTTGTAATTCCATTCAAGGGTCACTCCCTTGAAGTTTTCAAACAGAAGAAATACAGAAAAATACTGGAATACAGAAAAATCTAATCTGTGATCAAGCACTTCACAAGGAATAGGAATAAAACTATTGGAGCCTTTCCCATGTGAGCTCCTTATCTCTACTCTGTTTTACCATAAATGTTGATCTAAAAAATAAGTCTCACATGTTTAATTTTGGTAATTTATTTTTTGGAAAATAAGAAAATATTCCTCAGAAATTACTTGAGGCCAGGAAGAGTAAATCACTGTGGTGATTTACTAGTTTTGAAAAGTCTACTCCAATAGTTTTCGTGTGGCAAACTATCTGTGTGCTATTGATGTGATGATTCATAGTTTAAAAACAAAACTTTAAGACTATGAGAAAACCATTACTTTACTCTATTTAGAGAATTTTGGAAGATTTTTTTTCCCCTTGGTAAATGCCACAAAGAGATATTTCTCATGAAAATTTAACTGAGGGACAGGCTGTAGCACTGTTAAGGATCGCCTTTGGGAATAGTTATGGGAGAGAGTGTGGAGCCAGGGCTAGTAATTATGAAACACCAAGGAAAAAAGCATATATGTATGAAAAAGGAAGAGGTCGAGAGATGGAGTGAGGGAAGAGGGAAGGAAAGGAAATGGAATGAAAAACAGAATTTAGATGTATGAGGTACATGTACCAACTCTCCACAAGGACTGTAAACATTATATACTACACACATACTAAAAAATTTTTAAATTCTGAAAATAATAATGAGCAGAATGATAGGAAGAGAATAAATGCTTTAAAAAATAGTTTTCACCATACAAAAGCCATAGCATATATTCACATCTGGTTTAGCAGAAAGAATTAACTTGGACATATACTTGAAAATATATTGAAAAATCTGACATATTACTTAAAATTTCTGTAGACAGAGCACACTGGATTTTGAATCTTGGGCCTTTACTGATAATGTGAGTGACCTTAAGCATTATTTCCAAAACAGAACTCAAGAAATAACATGTATGGAAGTGCTTAGCATTTATAGTCGAGGCAAGAATACTGTTAGGACAAAAAAAAAAAAAGAGCCAGGTGTGGTAGTGCTGTAATCCTACCACTTGGGAGGCTGAGGCAGGAGGATCACTGCGAGTTTGAGCCAAGCTTGGACTACATAGTGAGTCAGGTCCAACCTCAGTTACACACAAAGACTCTCACAAACAAACAAACAGTGCCTGTTATGGTCAGAAAAATTTGAAATACAATGTTCAGATCTCAGATTTCTAGAGGTCGGTCACTTCATTAACCTTGGAAAGGATGGTGGAGCTTATGTCACAGAGTCGAAAATACATGATATGAATCTACGGAGTGCCAACAGTAAACACAGCACTTTCTTAGGAAGTGGCATTGAAGGGAATGGGGGTCATTTAATAGGCACAGAGAATAAAAGAGGAACATTAGGGAAAACCACCTATGTCTCTCATGCAAGTTCAGGCTTCAGATATTTTTGACCAAGTGACACCAAGAAAATAACACAAGTTGTGGGGGTCAGACTTGGTTTCAAATCTTGGCTTTGTTTATGGACCTGAGTATAGCCTTTCCCAGCCTCAGAACCCCCATCCGTGGAATGAAAACAAAAATACTTACACTGCAATACATTTTTAAAGATTACAGATGATTTATGAAAATGCCGAATTGACATCTGACACACAGAAGCTGTTACTGTGAGTTCCTTCAAAGCAGAAACTGAGCCTCATGCATCTCTGTATTCCTCACTGTGTTTAGCACAATGCTTGTAATATATATTAGGTATAATAACTCTTCATTGAATGGATAAATAAGTTAAAAACTTGTTTAATGCTCTTGGTGTATGCTCTAATTACCATCAGATGGGGCTTTTGCCCAATTTGGGAAAAAAATTTCCTCTAAAGGACCAACTGAACTCAACCTTTGACTTCAGAGCATGTCTCCAAGACAACAAAACAAAATAAAACAAAACTGGAACACACAGAAATTGGCTGTCATTGGTACATGGCTCTTAGTGATACATTTAGATCCCACCTAAACTTTAGATATACCTATGGCTGTGGACTCAATCTAATACTTATTTTTAAGGTGCCATTATGACCAACAAGTCACTCTGAGAAAGTTAGATACCCCTTTGAGCTTAATTTCTTCATTCATAAATAATTTCCTTAATGGTTGATGTGAAGATTAAATGAGACAGCATATGTATAGTACCTGACACAGATCAGGCAAAGCATGTTTTGAAACTAAGTATAAAACACCAGAGCTCAAGCTTCTTTTATTACATTTTATTTCCAAAGGACTTTAAGCTCATTGAAGAACAGAACCATGACTTATTGAGAACCACTTCGCATGTCCATGCTTGGTTCCTAGCATAATGTAGGCCAAAGAGTAAATGTGAAATCATTGCTTGTAGAGCTGGATTGCTTCCAACTGCTAAACATACTGGAAGTTAATCAAGAGTGTTTTTATAGGAAAATGTGATTTTAGGCATGAGGAACCATAAAAGATTTCAAAAATAAAGTGTACCAAAGAAACTTTTTCTGTTTTCAATATTACTATAGCAATTGTCCAAAGAAAGAACCATAGACCTAATATCTTATCATTTTTACAAAGCTTTAGACAAATTGATCGTTTAGGATAGTTTCAGATACAAGTAGCAGAAAATCCAACATGATTTCGAAAGTAAGTGAATTTTTTTTTGTACCAGGGATTGAACTCAGGACCTTACGCTTGTGAGGCAGGCACAGTGCCGCTGAGCTAAATCCCTGGCCCCAAAAGTAAGTGAATTTCTTGGGCTTACATGTTGGGAAGTGTATGTCAGGATTGACTGATCCAATAAACAGTTCAACAGTGTGATCAAGAATCCAGATTCTTTCTGCTTTTCTGTGTTGGCAACAGTGTTGGCTTTATGTTGGATGTAAGTTAGTTTCTAATAGAGAGTAGGCTACATTTCCTCATTCATATCTAGGAAGAGAAAATGAAAGTGTGCTAAAGCACTAAACGTACTTTCTAACAATATAATGTTCCCACACCTTACCCAGTAATTATCTTCAGTGAAATGTAATGCATTGATAGGATTAGGTTAGTGTGGACCGATTCTTCATATTTCATTCCTTCTTCACAGGGATGCAAGTGAAATGGGGAAAAGTATGATGAGAAGCCAGTCACTATGTCTCCAGTGAAAATTATAATGTTCACAAGAAAAGATGTAGATTTGTTTTTTTTTTTGTACCGGGGATCAAACTTGGATCCTTGCACTTGCGCAGCAGGCGGTGAAACCACTGAGCTAAATCCCGGGCCCAAGATGTAGATGTTTGAGCTGGATGATGTGGTTGAGTGGACAAGTAGCTGTTAAAATAGAATACTTACGAAATTAGAGAGATGTGACTGCAGAAATCTTTTCTTGCTTTACCCTGCCACCCTAGATATGGTTAGGCGCTGCTCCATTCTCCTCCTGTATAAAAATACATGTCATTTCATGTGCATACATCATAAAAATTATGTATTTCCCTTTTACTGATACATATTTGTAATACAGAATCATGAGATTAGTTTTGGTGCAATGGAACATGTGAATAACATATTTTGATTATTTTCATCCCAGTTCCCCCTTTCCTTCCTTCATCCCTTCCCCTTATCCCTTTCCTCATCATTTCTGAAGGTCTATTTTCTAGTTTGCTGTTATCTCCCTTTAGTTGTATTTATTTATTTTTAGATTGCTTATTAAGAGATAACATGTGACAATAAACTTTCTGAGATTGACTGATTTCATTTAATGTTCTACAGTTTCATCCAACTTCCTGTGAATGACATGACTTTGTTCTTCTTTGTGGTGGAATAATACTTCATTCTATATATATACCACATTTTCTTCATCCCTTCAACAATTGATATGCATATAGGTTGTTACTATAGCTTAGCTATTGTGGATTTTGCACTTCTATAAAAATGGGTATACAGTTATCAGTAGAGTACACTGCCTTTAATTCTTTTGGGAATATGGCAAGAAATAATATAGCTGGATCAAATGGTATATCTATTTTTTATCATTTTAAGAAGTCTCCATACTGATTTCCATAGTGGTTGTACTAGTTACATTCCCACCAACATTGTAGGAGGGTTATTTTTACCCTGCATCCTCACCTAAATTCACTGCTTTTTATATTCATGATAGCCATTCTGACTGGGATGAGATGGAATATAGTTTTGATTTACATTTCCCTAATGGCTAAAGACATTGAACATTTTTTCATATACTTATTGCCCCTTTGTACTTCTTTTGAGTACTCTCTGCTCAATTCATTTGCCTGTTTATCAGGTAGGCTGTTTATTTCTTCAGTGTTTTTGAGTATATATTCTAAATATTACCCTTTTATCTGAAGAGTAGCTACCACAGATTTTTTTCCCATTTTGTAGGTTGTCATTTCATTCTGCTGATTGTTTCCTTTACTGTGCAGAAGTTTTTGATGAATTATATTTCTGTGACTATTTTTATAACCCAACTGTAACGGTGTTGAAAGCAGGACTTGTGCCTTACCCAGCTTTATAGCCTCAACACGTAGCACAGAATCTGGCATATGCTAAGGAGGTCAATTTCTAAATATTACATAATGAACAATGAAGGGGTACAAGTTTCAGAAAGGGAGATTTCAAATGTTCACATGGTTGAAAAGAAAACTTCCTAACAATAAACATATCTCTAGCAGCCTTCAATCTCTGAACTATAAAAAGGAAGTATGTTGGATTAATATATAGTTAATGTTCTTTTAAATCCTGGAATTCATTGATTTTCTGAATTTATCAATGGTGATCACAATGTCATGATAGTGGCCCAGATGTCTCCTATGTAGAACTCAAGATGTTCTGTGTGATGAGAAAGTACAAAAGTTAGTTATATGGCTCATGAGAAGTTGAACTTTCTATGCAAGCCTATGATCTCTACGAAGAGATAATATTCCATTTTTTCTTGTCAGCTTTGATGACTAGTCCGTGCTGGTTCTGATCTGGCATGAACTTGACATTGTCTGTCTGTTTATAAAATAAAACTGAAGGAAGTTTCATGAGGCAATATAGTGCTAAGGGTGAAGGAGAGATTTCTTATCAGTCTAAACAACCTTTAGCTCAAGTGACCCTTAAGAATAAAATAAATAGAATCACAAATGACCATGGCAGACATTCAGCATTTAGCTAGTGCTAAACACTGGGCAAGTCCTCTAGCTAAGCGGACAGTACATACTTGGAGATAAGATCTAGCCACAATAAAATTTAGAATTTAATTGGATAATTGCAACACACACACATGTACACATATATACATATATAATACAAAGCAGCACCCAAGACAGCAAAGGGAGTGACTACAGAATATTGCATTCAGGAATGTACTGCTCAGAATACCCTTTCACTCATCCTCCTAACCTATAGTAACTTGTTCAATTTTCTTTTTTTTTTTTTTTGGTACCGGGGATTGAGCTCAGGTCCTTGTGCTTGCGCAGCAGGCAGCCAAAACCACTGAGCTAAATCCCCGGCCACTTGTTCAATTTTCTTCTTGTGATTGATACATTCTAACTAATTTTCTTAATCCTTTGTCTCCCTTAAATATCCCATGAAACCTCAGTTTGCTTATTTGGGGGTTCATAGTTTTACCATCATTTCATAGGTATAAAAGTTATAAATCATTTGACCACTTAGACATAAATACTGTTAGGATAGTCTCTCTCTGTTCCTAGAACACCACTTATGTATATAGGTAAATGCACAGACAAAAGTATTTGAAATGTTTTATACAAACATGTTTACTGGGAAAAGGATGATGTTGTTGAGGCTTTCATATTTTATTCTATGTACTTTTATGTTGTTATTTTAAACAACAAAGTACCTAGGTGAATTAGTAAAATTTTTTAAAAGACTAAATAAAACCTTTACTCCCAGGTGAGTTACTAACAAAAAATATTTGGTCTTATGTTGAATATCCATCACAGTGACAAATACTTGAGATCACTTGGAAGGAGGAAAGGCTTGTTTAGGCTCACAGTTTCAGAACTTTCAGCCCATGGTCAGTTGGCTCCACTGCTTGGCAACCTGTTGTGACACAGCATATCATTGCAGGTACATGAAGCAAAGGGAACTGCTCATCCTGTGGAGTCCCGGATATAAAGTGCGAGAAAGGCAAGGGGCCAGGGTCCCAGTATCTCCTTCAAGGGCATGCACCAATTACCCAGCTTCCTTGCCCTGGGCCCCACCTCTCAGAGGTTCTATCTCTCAGTCCTGCCACAGGCTGGTGACCAAGCCTTTCTCACATAGCCTCTGGAAGATGTTTAAGATCCAAACCATAACATATTTTGAATCTGATTCAAGGCAATAACCCCCATCCATAGGGTCATGGCAAGAAATGACAGTATTTGATCTTGACGGCTTTTTGTCAGGGAAGAATAAATGCAGAAAAATGAAAAAGAAGAGCCTTGATTTTCTGAGAGCCCGTATGTACCAAATGACCCACAGAGCAAACATCAGCAGATAAGCACACTACAAGCTGAGGAGGGGATTGTTCTCAAAATGTTTCTCAGAGGAAGGAGTTGGGTATAGAGAAAGCAGAACTGGCTGCAAGTGAAGAGACAAGAATTGTGCCTCTTGTTCTGATATAATCGAGGACTGTGAACACACAGGATTCATAGACTCTCTCTTGGTTTCAGTTTTCTACTTTCTAGAGTACTAAAATGTAGAATATTTAAAAATTGATAATTATTGATGATTCTCAACATTTTAACTTACCAAGTAGGGACAATAAAAGGGGAAAACTAAACAAACAAATAAGCAGCAAAACCAAAAACTGTCATCAAACTCAATCATCTTTCACTAATGAAAGAACATTTTTGTACCAAAAATGTAGGGGTATAATATCATATTTTCACAAATAAAATTCTTAAAAAGCTTAGCTTTGTGTCTAAAACCTCAAAATTTGCCTTTATCTGTTTCCTCCATAGACAAGTATAAATTTTGCCATGGGCTTCATTTGGGAACTTCAGAATTACATTTCTGTCCTGTGCTGTCCCACTAGCATGTTGTGACCTTGAACTTGATTTTGAACAGTACACTGGGCATTGAATGGCATTCAGAAACACAGAGAGGGTAATCAGAAGACATACTGGCGAGCAGAGAACATCAGTACTGATGGAATGCCTCAGAAGCATTGCTGAACAACAGCTATGTGCTACACCTTTTTCCGGATGATGAAGTTCCACAGTGAGTAAAGTTAACACAAAATTTAACTTCAAGGGAGGATCTAACATGGTTGACTAGAGGAGGAGTCATACAGATACTCAGAGAAGGTTTACTGAAAATACAGATACTCTGAAATAGGGAGAAGTACTCACATCGTGAAACTGAAAATTCAAAAGATGATATGTATAGATCAGACAAATATCTGGATCATTAAAAAGGGAAAACAGTGCCACCATGGTGGTCTATACTACATCTGCCCCTGCTTATCCCAAGGAGTAGCCATCATGAGGTCATCCCAAAGAGTCTGAGGGGATGAGCTAAGCTCTGCAGAGGGGAGACCCCATGGATAGACTCAGCTTACACTGGCCCCATCTCTCCATCTTCCAATTACTACACCAAACACTGGGGAACATTGTGGTGTCCAGTGTGAGCAGAGGAAGTTCCCATTCTCTCTAGCCAGAGAGAAGTAAACATGGTGAAGGTAGCAGGGACCCACCACAGATTACATACCTGGAGACAGAGAAGACGGAGCAAGACTGATCCGTTGGTCCAGAGTGAGCTCTTTCTGTTTTTTCCACAAAGATTTTAAAAATCTGAGTTAGTAGGGGTGGGAGCCAAGAGTCCCAAAATCAGTCCTGGGGAACAATAAGATTCTGCTGGTTGGACATGGAATTCTTGAGACAGATCCAGTTTAACACAAAAATCAATAGTGTTCCTTAGGCCAGTAATGAACCCACTGTTGAAAGAACCATTATGGAATTTAGAATGGAGATTTCTGAAAAAACTAAAAATTTTAATTCCATTCTATTCAGTTATTTCCCTTATAGCTATCTTCCCAAAAGAGGTAAAGATACCATATTATATGTATATCAATATTTATAGGAGCACAAGTCATAACAGTTAAATCTTGGAAGCAACCCTATGCTTACCCACAGATGAATGGATAAAGAAAATAAGGTATCTATATATAATACTACTTATACTATACTATAGAATACTACTTAGTTATAAAGAAGGATAGATTTGAGGCATTTGTAGGAAAATGGGTACATCTTGAAAACATAATATGAAATGAAATAAATTGACACACAAGCTTGAACATCATACAATTTCTCTTACAGGATAAATCCATGGTGCAAATAAAAAAGCAAAATAAAAACTGATGAAAGAATAATACTTAATACACTGTGTATCATCATCTTAAAAGTATGGTCAAAGTGTTATTCAGAGCACAAGTCATAGACAAAAAAGATTCTCTCCTATATAAAGAAACAAACATAATAGCACAAAACTATATCAAATATTGTTATTTCCTAATTATTTTGTTATGAAACTTTGTTTTAGTTTTTCATAGAAGTAAGAGTGCTTTTTAAATATTTTCTGTATTAATATCTATATGATAAAAAAGATTCTAAACTTGAAGTTATTCTATTACCAGATATGTATACTAAGGAATACATTCTGTTGGATTACCTAAAGAAATGAGATGATCACATACTGCAAAAACAAAATAAAACAAAAAAACTGATAAAAGGAAGCAAGGAGATAGATATTTTGCAAATGAGAAGGGGACCAAAGACTGAGTGGAGAATATTGGGAGAGGGGGAAGGAAATGTAAAATAATTAAGATGTGTCATGTACCAACCACCCACAATGAATCTAATCATTATATGTCACAAACATGAATAAAAAAGGTAACAATAATTAAAATGAGTGAACGTGATCTAGATATAGAGGGAGGAAAGAGGGTAGGAAGAAGGGAAATAAAAAGTATCAAGATATGTTAAGTACATGTACCTTTCAAGATGAATGTAAACATCACGTACTGCAACTATGTACTAATAAAAAACATTTTTAAAAGAAAGAAAGAGGGGCCGGGGATTTAGCTCAGTGGTTTCGCCGCCTGCTGCGCAAGCGCAAGAACCTGAGTTCGATCCCCGGTACCTAAAAAAAAAGAAAGAAAGAAAGAAATGTGACTTCTAGAAGCTTATGTTGTAGCTAAGGGAACCTGGTTATTAAAAATACACAAGCAAATATATGTATATTGGATCACATTGGCATAAATAGCATGGTAAAAATAAAGCAAGGTAAGTATGATAGGTAGAGTAGCTCCGGTGTGGAAGGTGATCCGGGAAAGGCTCCTTGAGCAGAGAAGGGAAGGGAAGAGGGAGCTATGTCCACACCTGAGAGAAGAAAAGTGCTGGCACAGAGCGTAGTGAATACGAATGCCTTCAGGCAAGAGTTAAGGAATAGCTGTGCCCAGAAGTAAGGAGAGAGAAAGGAAGTCAGAGGTAGTCGCGGACCAAATCACATAGGACCTCAGACGTTGTAGAGAACAGTGAGCAGAGGAGAGATGCAGTCTGACTTATGTTTTAATAAAACCTCTCTGGCTTCTGTATAAAGAGACTCTCTGTGGACACAAGCAGAAGCAGGGAATTGAGTTGATGCTATAATTTTTGCACTTGGAAATGATAAAGGATATTTATAACAAGAAGAAAGGAGATACCTGAAAAGTACCCCTGTGCTGTTGTTCCTGCCACTGCTTTTGGAAGTGAGAAAATAAGGAAACAATATATTACTCAATGAGAACATGCCTAAGACTTAGGACTGTCTTTCTGAAACATGCACATATACGCATGTTTATTTCATACAGATAAAACATCTCTCTATAACTTATTAAATGAAACTTTGTCCTCTGATTTCTCCAAAACTAATGCTTTGTTTGCTAGGTTAAGACTTTTTTATTTTGTATTTTCTACTTTTATTAGTAATTGCTTTATATGATGCATGGAAACCCTGTGCATTAGTCAAGATTAGATAGGTTATGCTATGGTTAAAAAAACAAAAAAACAACCTCATGGACTTGCTGGTTTAACATAATAAAAGCTTATACCCAGTGAGGATCAGCTGAGAAGCTCTGATCATCTTAGATGTTCAGAGACCAGATGAGAGAAGCTCCATCTTAACATTTGATGACATAGTTGCTGAGTGCAAGAAAACAAACATGGCAACTTCTATACTGTCTTTTAAAACTTCTAAGAAGTTAATATAAACTATTTTCCCTCACATTTCCCTGATATGTCATATAGCCATGCATAACTTCAAATGAAGCAGGAACATGGAATTGTACTATGTACCTAAAAAATAAGAAGTGAAAAACTACTGAATCCTCTTAATGTCTCCTATAACCTGGCTGTTTCTGATTGGATTTTAAATTTTTCTTGCCCTTATCTGTCCACTTGTCCACAAAAATTCCAGTCTTCCTTGTTTACTCAGTTGGAATCTTTGTGACCTAAAAACATGCACATGCGCATAATTGGCACCTGTCATTCTAAATATACACCTTTTCTTTGCCCTCTAGTAAGCTTTGTAGCCAGGAAGTCAATTCAAAGAGATGCTAGGAAAATTACCTCTCCCAAAGTGAAAAAATAGATACAGATTTTCTTTAGAGCTTTTCTACTGTGTGTGTGTGTGTGTGTGTGTGTGTGTGTGTGTGTGTGTATATGATTGGTTAGTTACTTTTCTTGCTTCCTGCTGCTGCGACAAAATATCTGACACCATAAGTTAAAGGAGGAAAGGTTTATTTTAGCTCTAAGTTTGTAGAGGTTTCAGTTCATAGTTAGCAGGCTCCAAGGCAGGGTGTTATGAGCATGGCAGAGAAGAAACACTCCTTGGCAGGGCAAGCAGGAGGCAGCAGCAGCTGTGAGCCTTCCTTTTCCTTTTATCCCATCCAGTCTACAAGCCTATTGGTTGGTCCCACCCACACTCAGGTTGGAGCATCCATTATTCACACCCAGAACTATGCTAAACCACTTTAATTATCATACACTCTCAATCCCAGTATTACACACTCAAAATCCAGCCAACTCTGAAAAGTCCCACCTATGAGCACATGGGGCTTTGAGAGACATCAAGATACAAGTCATAGCACTGCTTACTTTTTTATCCTTTCTGTCCTTTGATAGTCTGATATCCACCTGCTATCCCCACCAGAGTTTCTAATCAATGGAGCAATACCAGTAAGCAATTCCAGTCAGTCCAATTTTGCCTGAACCCCATCCAAAGATAGCATCATTGTTTGCAAGCATTGGGAAAACCATAGCACCAAATTCTTCATCTGTACACTAAGGCATTTATTAGTGGCCAGGTGCTATCCCGTGCAATACTGATAGGCTTCTGACTCTGAAGACACTGTCTCAAATAAAAAAATTGGTAATTCCAGGTCGAGGACTAAGTTTTATATATCATCTCACCATCAGAGTATAAGGCTCTGATTTGCCTTTCTTTTCTAAAAATTCTTAAATCTTTTTATTAGTGTATATAAGTTACATAGAATATTGGTTTTAATTGTGACATCTTCATATATACATATAATATACTCTGATAATATCCATTCTTCTTGACTTGCCTTGAAAACTTTTCAGAGATTTGTGACTATGTAGCCATGACAAGAAGGCAAAAGTTTTTGAAAACCTGCTGAAGCTCCACACAGAGGGACCCATCTTTGCTGACCTGTGAAAACATTCACTCGATTGATTAGAAGTATTGTCTCCTCCACAGAATGACAAATAATACAGGAACTCACCCCTATGGGAAACCTAAAAAAGCTGCCCTCATACAAATAGAGAATAGAATAGTAGCTATCATAAGTTCTGGTATTCTGATTACAGAAAACTATAGTGACTATAGTGACCATAAAGCACTATATATTTCTAAATAACTAGAAGAAAGGATTTTGAACCTTCTCACCACAAAGAAATGATAAATGTCTGAGGTGTAGATATGCTAATTCCCTAATTTGATCAGGAAACACTGTATACATGTATCAAAACACACTGTTCCCCAAAATATATACAATTACTTACTATGTGTCAGTTAAAAGTAAAATTTTAATCTTTTTACGTCATGTACATATATACTAAATACCCACAATGAAAATAGTCATTATGTATTGGAAATATGTACTAATAAATAAAGAAAAAGGAGAAAAAGTGTTGTTGGTACAGTAGAGAGCACAGCTTCCTTCTAATTAATATCAAGTGGAGCTAAAAAAATAATAAAACTTTAAAAGATGAAAGATTTATATGATCTGAAGAGTATGAAAATAATAAAACTTTAAAAGAGTAATATCACTCTTAATTAAGCAAGATGACTACATTTGCTTTCAGAAGTCCTGTGAAAGTATAATTGTGTATGGTACAAAGGAGCAATAGAGTGAATTCCAAGATAGAGAATGTAATCCTTGCCAGTGTTTGGGAGAAAAAATATTAAGTTTTAAAGTACAGACCTACAAATGCTATGACTAGGAATGACCTTTCATTTACTGGACTAGGTAAGAGGCTTCTTGAAAGTGGAGACCTTTTCCATTTTTATTTCTTTCTCATTCTGTAACCTAACATTTTTGCATTACTTTAGACAAGTCATGAATAAACTCTTTTCTAATAAACCATCAAAAATTGCTTTTTCTACCCAACAGGTGGCATTGTTGTTTTACAAATGGCTTTGGAACCAACAGCAGTTAAATAGTCACCAGCGATTTTGGCTTTTGTTGGTGGTGCCTTTGTTCTGTTTTTAGCCCCACCTATTTTTCACAGAAGCAGGCAGACATGAGGAGTAACGAATATTCTTCTTTGCAGAAGCGCTTTATTTTTGAGAAGACATATCATTGATGAGTCGATTCAATTACCAGTTGTTGTATTAGTAAATAAGAAACATTTAACTTCTCCC